AGTAAATGTACTTAGTTATTTTCCAAAACTACTGTGTTGTTGGTGTGGACTGTAATATAAAAAGGTGTTTCTGTGAAAAATGACCTGGGAGAACTGGGAGATCCTTTGTCAGGAGCCTTACATATATAAGCTTTAGCTGTACTTTAGTATTTTGTCAGCATTGTACAGTAGCTGAATAAACCTTTGTGAAGTTAGGCCTACATTGCACTACCTGCAGTAATTTTTACAGTGCCTTGCGAAAGTATTCGGCCCCCTTGAACTTTGCGACCTTTTGCCACATTTCAGGCTTCAAACATAAAGATATAAAACTGTAATTTTTTGTGAAGAATCAACAACAAGTGGGACACAATCATGAAGTGGAACGAAATTTATTGGATATTTCAAACTTTTTTAACAAATAAAAAACTGAATAATTGGGCGTGCAAAATTATTCAGCCCCTTTACTTTCAGTGCAGCAAACTCTCTCCAGAAGTTCAGTGAGGATCTCTGAATGATCCAATGTTGACCTAAATGACTAATGATGATAAATAGAATCCACCTGTGTGTAATCAAGTCTCCGTATAAATGCACCTGCACTGTGATAGTCTCAGAGGTCTGTTTAAAGCGCAGAGAGCATCATGAAGAACAAGGAACACACCAGGCAGGTCCGAGATACTGTTGTGGAGAAGTTTAAAGCCGGATTTGGATACAAAAAGATTTCCCAAGCTTTAAACATCCCAAGGAGCACTGTGCAAGTGATAATATTGAAATGGAAGGAGTATCAGACCACTGCAAATCTACCAAGACCTGGCCGTCCCTCTAAACTTTCAGCTCATACAAGGAGAAGACTGATCAGAGATGCAGCCAAGAGGCCCATGATCACTCTGGATGAACTGCAGAGATCTACAGCTGAGGTGGGAGACTCTGTCCATAGGACAACAATCAGTCGTATACTGCACAAATCTGGCCTTTATGGAAGAGTGGCAAGAAGAAAGCCATTTCTTAAAGATATCCATAAAAAGTGTTGTTTAAAGTTTGCCACAAGCCACCTGGGAGACACACCAAACATGTGGAAGAAGGTGCTCTGGTCAGATGAAACCAAAATCGAACTTTTTGGCAACAATGCAAAACGTTATGTTTGGCGTAAAAGCAACACAGCTCATCACCCTGAACACACCATCCCCACTGTCAAACATGGTGGTGGCAGCATCATGGTTTGGGCCTGCTTTTCTTCAGCAGGGACAGGGAAGATGGTTAAAATTGATGGGAAGATGGATGGAGCCAAATACAGGACCATTCTGGAAGGAAACCTGATGGAGTCTGCAAAAGACCTGAGACTGGGGCGGAGATTTGTCTTCCAACAAGACAATGATCCAAAACATAAAGCAAAATCTACAATGGAATGGTTCACAAATAAACATATCCAGGTGTTAGAATGGCCAAGTCAAAGTCCAGACCTGAATCCAATGGAGAATCTGTGGAAAGAACTGAAAACTGCTGTTCACAAACGCTCTCTATCCAACCTCACTGAGCTCGAGCTGTTTTGCAAGGAGGAATGGGCAAAAATTTCCGTCTCTCGATGTGCAAAACTGATAGAGACATACCCCAAGTGACTTACAGCTGTAATCGCAGCAAAAGGTGGCGCTACAAAGTATTAACTTAAGGGGGCTGAATAATTTTGCACGCCCAATTTTTCAGTTTTTTATTTGTTAAAAAAGTTTGAAATATCCAATAAATTTCGTTCCACTTCATGATTGTGTCCCACTTGTTGTTGATTCTTCACAAAAAATTACAGTTTTATATCTTTATTTTTGAAGCCTGAAATGTGGCAAAAGGTCGCAAAGTTCAAGGGGGCCGAATACTTTCGCAAGGCACTGTAAATACTGTAATGCTGTTTCCAGCTCCTGAATTATCCTATCGGTTTGACCATTGGACTGAGGATGGAACCTTGACTGGCTTTTGCCCCTAGGAGACAGCAAAACTGGTTGCAGTGCTGTAGCTAGTCTGGGTGTGATGACGGCACTTCTCCTTAGTATTAGTTGTTAAAGACCAGTGGAAATTTCCTGAACCTCATCAACTAGAGAGGTGAGCATCTGTTCATGTCTGTGAATGGTCACTGTCTGCGGAGTTAACTCCCCACAACTCCCATCAGGGTTTGCTGAGCAAATACAGTCTATCGTATGTATGTATGTACTGTATTTTATCCATCTATCTTATGTATGTATTGTATTTTATCTATCAATCCATCTTTTTGTATGTATGTACTGGGCTTTTGCTGCTCGTCAGGGGCAGGGCGTGTAGCACTTGTGCTCTTTTCTGTACTTAGACCCAGACTGGAGAGCTACTCTGGCTGCTACTTGCAGGAGAGTGAGTGTTGCCAGATTCACCACTCTGGGAGAGTTTAAAAAACATATTTTTGTCTGCTTTTTAGGTGGCTGATGCGACATATTTTCCAGGCGGACAATGCTAGAGTAATTGGCTATGAACCTTTGATAATAGCCACAGAAACCAAAGGAATGATTTCAGAGACTTCAGGCCAGTTGGCTCTTTCCAGTTTCTCACCACGTCCACTTTGTTTGGATCTGTGGAGATACCTGCCTCTGAGACAATGTCGCCTGTATAGTTCACCCTAGGCTGACAAATTTGGCTTTTGTCAATAAACACTTTGAGGCCAACCTCTTTGAGGTGGTCAAGAACTTGTCTATGTTCATGCTCTTCAAGAGTCTTTTCAAAGATGACAATATCGTCAAGATAGACCAAGACCTGAAGAAGATATAAGTCACCCCCGGCTTTCTCCATAAGCCGCTTAAAAGTGGCTGGAGTGCCTGTGATGCCCTGAGGCATCCTCTTGAATTGGTGAATACTGAATGGGCAGATAAATGCTGTCTCCTCTTTGTCTTGTTCTGCCATGGCTATCTTATAATAGCTGCTC